CATCTGTTGTGTTTACTAAGTTCTTGCCTGGGAACTGAATACCCTGTCCCTGTGTATGTATTTCCACCTCTGTACTGCAATCACTACCTGGAACTTCTAAAAAAGCTTCCAACTTCTTAAGAAGTGATTTACTCCAATGGTAAATGTGCAAGTCTAGGATTGAAAACTAATTCTTTTCTCTCATGTTAGGTAAAATGTAAATGTAACATTATCTGCAAATAAAAAGCAAAATGGGTGCATATATCCATTCTGGAATTCCTTTTAGGACTTAACTATGTAAAGAAAAAAATGGGACAAGATCATAAAAATATATGTATAAATATGCTCACTGAAGCCCTAATTAAAATAGCAAAAAAACTATGATCAATCTAAATGTTTATGAATATAAACAACTACTTAAATAAAATACATTTGTATAATGAAATACTATGTCAACAGAGTTAGTTGGCATGACTATATTTCAATGTATATATCTATGCACAGAAAAAAAAAGCTTAGAAAGTTCTATACCAAAATGTTAGCAGTGGATATCTCTGTGTAATAAGATGACGGACAATGTCAACTTCTTTTTTAGTCTTTTTTCTATAGTTTCTACATTTTGCTTGAAGGCTTTTGAATTTGATGAAAAAAATAGAGAATTAAGTTGTTATATGCCCCCTTAGAAGGTCAATAAAACACTTTCAAACTAGTATTAAAGATTCAAATAAGAATTATTCTACTCATAATAACCCACAAAAAATTTTTTGTTCTTATCCTTCAGGCAAGTGTAGCTCATAGATGAAGTCTCTTCTCTCTCCATATTACAGAAGTAATATGTGAGCATTACAAAAAAACTGTAGAAAATATTCAGAGGTTTAAAAAATATAATAATGATCAATAATATCACGAAATTTGAGAATACATTCATTTCAATTGCACGTAGTTCACTGAGCAGCTCCTATGTCACGGGCACAACTTTCTCAAAACACTGGAAACAAAGCATTCAGCAAAGCAATCAGAATCTCTGTCCTCAAGGAACTTGGGGCCTAATACCAGGAAACAGGCAGTAAACAACAAGTTAGGAAGCAGATAATATTTCTGATGGTACTACTCAATTAAATACTACTCAAATTAAACAAAAAATTAGAAGAACTATAAGGGAAGATGACTTTAGAGTGACCAGCAAAGATCTTTTGGAGGAGCTAATATTGAACTTAGACCTAAATTAGAAGAAAAGGCACTTATAGTTTCTGGGTGACCCTTGGCCAGTTTCTCCTTCATGAACCTGGAGTGTTTCCCTCTGCCTATATATCATACTATTCATTCTTTTAAATGCATATTTTGATAAGCAGCTGTTCTTAATTTTGATGAAGATTACTTCATCAATTTTTGTACTTTTATAGTTCCTACTTCTATGTAGTATCCAAAACCCTTCTTTTACCTTCATGTCATGAAGGTATTTTATTTTTCATCTACTGGTTTTATAGTTTTATCTTTCATATCAAGCTCTACGATCTGTCTTCAATTAATTTTTATATGTGGTGTGAGATAGAAGTTGAGGTATGTTTGTCCATTTGGGTATGCAGTTGTTGCAGCACAATTTGTTGAAAGACTTTCTTTATTCATACTGAATTGTTTTAATGTTCTTGTCAAAAGTCAAATGATCACATAAGCAGGGGTCATTTCACCAGGCAATTTTGTTCCATATGCCTCCACTACACTGATTTAGACTATTAGATACTTTTTAATTTATAATATTAACCTTTCAGTGATATCTCTCTGTGCTTATTTTTTAATGGTTTAACCTAGGAATTAAAATATAGCCTCTTTTAGTCTAAATAGGATGAAAACTACCAGGTTACATTAAATACAAAAAGAGCAAAACAATTTACCCCTCCCTCCATCCTCCTGCTTTCACTGTCATTTGTAACACTTAACAACTTTATAAACCCTATATTATATTTCTTGCTTTCTAGGAGCATGTGAATTTTAGAGAAATTCAAAGAAAAAGGGAGTCATATTTATTATTTTTCTGTTTTTCTTTTCTTTTTTTTTTTTTTTTTTTTTTGACAGGCAGAGTGGACAGTGAGAGAGAGAGACAGAGAGAAAGGTCTTCCTTTGCCGTTGGTTCACCCTCCAATGGCTGCCGCGGCCGGCGCGCTGCGGCCGGCGCACCGCGCTGATCCGATGGCAGGAGCCAGGAGCCAGGTGCTTTTCCTGGTCTCCCATGGGGTGCAGGGCCCAAGCACCTGGGCCATCCTCCACTGCACTCCCTGGCCACAGCAGAGGGCTGGCCTGGAAGAGGAGCAACCGGGACAGAATCCGGCGCCCCGACCGGGACTAGAACCCGGTGTGCCGGCGCCGCAAGGCGGGGGATTAGCCTAGTGAGCCGTGGCGCTGGCCCATATTTATTATTTATATCGCATTTTATTCTTTCCTGAGGACTCTGTTGGACTCTGTTCATTGTTCCCAGGTGTATTTTATCCCCTCTCTTCAAAGTGAGTAATTTTTTTTTTTTTTAAACAGGCAGAGTTAGTGAGAGAGAGAGAGACAGAGAGAAAGGTCTTCCTTTTCCGTTGGTTCACCCCCCAAGTGGCCACTACGGCCAGCATGCTGCACTGATCTGAAGCCAGGAGCCAGGTACTTCCTCCTGGTCTCCCATGCAGGTGCAGGGCCCAAGAACCTGGGCCATCCACCACTGCACTCCTGGGCCACAGCAAAGAGCTGGACTGAAAGAGGAGCAACCAGGACAGAATCCAGTGCCCCAAACAGGACTAGAACACGAGGGTGCCGGCGCCGCAGGTGGAGGATTAGCCTAGTGAGCCGCAGCGCCGGCCCAAAGTGAATAATTTCTATAGATGGATCTTAAAAGTTCATTGACTCTTATTCTACAGATATGTTATAAAATTCTATTCAGTGAATTTTTATTTCATAGTTTGTATTTTTCTTCTAAATTTAATTATCTTAGTTGGCTTTATTTTTGAATCTAGAATTAGGCAATACTTTATTTATTTATTTGAGAGGCAGAGTTATAGACAGAGGAAGAGAGAGAGAGACAGACAGACAGACAGACAGAAAGAGAGAAGGAGAGAGAAAGTCTTCCATCCACTGGTTCACTCCCCAATGGCCATGGCTGGGCCTATCTGAAGCCAAGAACCAGGAGAATCTTCCAGGTCTCCCACGTAGGTGCAGGAGCCCAAGCACTTGGGCCATCTTCCATTGCTTTCCCAAGCCATAGCAGAGAGCTGGATTGGAAGAGGAGCAGCCGGGACTAGAACCGGTGTCCATATGGGACGCTGGTGCCACAGGCAGAAGCTTAATCTACTATGCCACAGTGCCAGCCTGAATACTTCATTCTATAAAGTAAAATGGGTGTTCCTCAATTCTTGAATTTAATAATTTTTCATTTTCTCACTGAGATTTTCTCTTTTTATTCAATAATAGCATATTTTTCTTCATGTTCTTGAACATAGTTATAACAGTTGGTTTAATATTCTAGTCTGCTAATTGTATCATTTGGGTCAACTTGGGTTTGGTCTCTATTGACTGTCTACTCTTCAGTATGGGAAGTATTTTCCTGCTTCTTCCAAGGTCAATTTATTTTGAATTGTATCTTGCACACAATAGATGTTATGCTATGGATACTTTGGATTTTGTTATGTTCCTTCTAAGAGTACTTTTTATATTGTTTTGTACTAACAAGTAGATAATTTAGTTGAACTCAAACTGGGGTCTCCACTGAGGTAAGTGACAGCTAAAATATCAATTATGTTAGTCTTATATGGGCTGCTTATTCTTCCTGTGCAGATGTATTTCAAGAATATAACATAGCTTTGGAAAAAGTATCTACATATAAAAGTTGTGTTCTCCCTCCTGGCTGCCTCTTTTCTGGGGTATGCCCTGACTTCTCAGAGGTTGATCTGTATTCTCCACGCATTAGGCCATGAAGAACATAGATTTCTATGAGATTTTCAGTTTTCCTACATGGAACAAAACATGCCCTTCCCTTTCTCTAATAGAGGAGGGAGAGGGGAGGGGAGAGAAGTGGAGGGGAGGTGAGAGGAGGGGAGGAAAGGAACCCATCTAGGGCCATGCCCTTCTTTCAATTTTTTTTTATTTTAATAGGCTAATTTTTAAAAGATTTATTTATTTATTTGAAAGGCAGATATAAGGAGAGAGAAGGAGAAAGAGGGAGAGAGAAGGTTAATTTCTAAGTTTTAGATACAAAGCAAAATTGATTGGAAAGAACAGAGAATGCTCACATACCCTCTGTATTTCTACAACTAGAGTGGTTGCTTTGTTACAACTGATGAGCCAACACTGCACATTATTGTCACCCCAAATTCATGGTGAACACTAGGGTTCACTCTTGGTGTTGTATATTCTATGAGTTTTAGCAACTATATAATGACATATTCATCATTATAATATCATAAGAATAGTTTTAGTACTTTAAAAAATCCACTGCACTCTACCTATTCATCCTTTCCTGCCCCAAACTCTTGGGAACTACTGCTACTTTTTATTTGTTTCATAGTTTTGCCTTTTCCAGAATGTCACATGATTGTGAGAGCACTGTGGGTAGCCTTTTCAGATTGACATCTTTCACTTATTGTCTTTTTCAATTTTTGATATTATTTCATTACATGCTTGGTTAACACCTAACATTTTTAGTAGTAATTTTGTTCAGAAATCTGTGGAAAGGCCTATTTAGTGTGTACTACTCAGCCATTAGGAGACGAAGAGTTTTTAAAATAAAAATTGGTATAGTTAATAAGAATAATCAGATTTCTGTCCATAGCTCAAGATGAATTCACCACAGCTTTATCTTTGCTCTAACTTTAGTCACTGGATTTCAGGGACAAAACAGATTTCAATTGTCACGCAATCTACCAAACAATAGTAGGCTTAAATGTCAACTTGAATTCTCATCACATCACATAAAATTAAATATCAGTATTTCATTCCTTATGATGTATAATTTACAGAAAAAAATTATGTTCTAAATATAATTAACAAACCTGTCAATGCTGTTTCACTTATAGATTTAATTTGTAGAAAAACTTCTCCTTTCAGCAAAGTCCAGTTTTGAAAATTGTCATATACTTCCTTTTTAATACTGGTTAGCTCTCTTTTAGTAAAGGTAAGTAAAGAAAGAGTTTTATTCCAGAAATAGTTGTATTCCAGCGATCTCTGACTGTAAGGTAATAAAAAATTAAATTTTAAAAAATAGTCAACATAATCACAAATATTTCTTCAAAAGTGGTTTTAGAGTGATGATACAGTCTAATGTCTCAACAGAGACAATTCTGAAAGTAAAAGGAGGTGCTACTCAAATGTTGCTGAAACAACAGACATAAAGAGGAATAATTTCAGGTAGACTCGGGGATATGGTCATTCCAGCTCATTTCCACTTTGCCATTTCTTTTTTTTTTTTTTTAAAGATTTTATTTATTTATTTGACAGGTAGAGTTACAGACAGTGAGAGAGACAGAGAGACAGAAAGAAAGGTCTTCCTTCCGTTGGTTCACTCTCCAAATGGCCGCTATGGCCAGCGCTGCACCGATCCGAAGCCAGGAGCCAGGTGCTTCCTCCTGGTCTCCCATGCGGGTGCAGGGCCCAAGCACTTGGGCCATCCTCCACTGCCTTCCAGGGCTACAGCAGAGAGCTGGACCGGAAGAGGAGCAGCTGGGACTAGAACCCACGCACATATGGGATGCTGGTGCCACAGGCAGAGGATTAACCTAGTGTGCCACGGCACTGGCCCCTTGGCCATTTCTTTAACTACAAAGAAATATTAGCTAACCATCTTTGTATAGACTTATTCTAGTAATCTTGCTTTCTAATGAGTTTATAGCAATATCTAGCGAACAAAATTTAGAGTTTTTTATAAGAGAATCTTCAATTTTTTGATACCATTCTTCCCATATACCATGGTTTCATAGATGGTGTGGTTAGGTAGTAAGTCAGAAATTGAGCCTATGTGTGTATGAGAAAGGCCTGAAGACCAGCACCCACTGCAGAAGCTCCAGAAGCCCAGCATCTTACACTTCAAGGTCCTGCCTGGATCCTGATGACCTTCCAGGGGGTCCTGTCCCTTCTACCTGGCCTGATAAACATCCTTCCTCTAAGGCAGGGTGACACCAGCCAGGCTCCCCCTGTCTGATAACTTTGGGGGGAAAACTCAGAAAGGAATTTTTCATATTTACATCCAACAAATCCTTTTGTTCGGGAGGAGAAGAAGGAGAGGGGGAGGGAAAGCAAGACCCACCCCTTAAAAACCCCAGCCTAAATGTGCACTATGCACTCTCTCTCAGGTCTTGTCTGGAGAGGTGCCCATCCATTCTTACAGATGTCCCTACCCTAATAAACCTTGCTATGTTGCTTTCCCCTGCTCTCTGTCTCACCCCTGAATTCTTTCTTGCATAAAGACAAGGACCCTTTGCTTCTCTGGTAACGGTGGCAGTTTTTGTAAAGTTAGCAGGAAACAAATATTTCTCTAATATATTTGAATATTTAGCTCCTCTTTGCTGGATTATCAAATAATCTAAGAATAATTATTGAAAATTTATCTATTTATGGATTAAGTTGTATTAACTTGAAACAATTTGGCCCAGATTAGGCCCAGCTACTGCAGGCAGTTGGGAAGTAAACCAGCAAATGGGAACTCTCTCTTTGTCTCTGTCCCCCTGCCTTTCCAATAAATATATTTTAAAGCTTTTCCAGAGGCTGGTACTATGGCATAGAGGGTAAAGCTGCTGCCTGCAGTGCCAGCATTTCATATGGACACAGGTTCAAGTCCCGGCTGCTCTACTTCCCTTCCAGCTCTCTGCTATGACTTGGGGAGGCAGTAAAAGATGGCCCAAGTGCTTGGACCCTGCACCCATGTGGGAAACCCAGAACAAGCTCCTGGCTCCTGGCTTCAGCTCCAGTCATTGCAACCATCTGGGGAGTGAACCAGTGGATGGAAGACCTCTCTCTCTGCCTCTGCCTCTCTCTGTAACTCTGCCTTTCATATAAAATAAATAAATCTTTTAAAAAAATTTTTTCCAAATAGCAATTATAATAGTGTATTCCCAAGTCATTGCTCCCTTACTCAAGTTTCTCAAATGTCTGTAACTACCCCAATGGTGCCCCAACATCAGAAGTGGGACATAAGGGGAAATTGGCGTGCAAAGATGACTTTTAACCAGTTCCAGCCAGACTATCTTACTTTCACCCAGAACCTTCCCAGAACCTTAGAGGAAGGAAGTCTTGAGTGAGAGACTGAAACACAGTGATTCACAATGAAACAGCCTGTATTGGTGACCTTAACTTCTTTTGTGAAGTAGAAGCAACAAGATAAGACACACAGCTGCTGAGAGACAAGAATATAGAGGAGTCTAAGCCTAACACTTGAGGATTCCTTACTGAGGACAGACTGCTCCACAACCTACAAGTAGATATATAAATTCAAATACTAGAGCGACTTCCTGACTTTCCGAAGTTAGTTTCCATTTTCAAAAGACACTTTATTATGAAAGCAACTATGCTAAACCAATTGAGACATGCTTATTCCTCACCATTCCGTCCCTTGCAAAAGACAGGCTGGAAATAATTCCAGCAAAAACAAAGAGCATACTTTGCTGGAGGCTGGGTGATTAAACCCCACTGTCATTAAATAAAAGAGAGAATTTAAAAAGAGCAATGTGACCCCAAAACACAGTTCATTGATTTGTTGAAACTTCCTTCCGAGATCCAAAAACAAAAGTCATGATTCTTTACCTTTCTAGCAGGGGAGATTATAAGCTCATTTTCTTTATTCACAGCAATCACAAATTTTACACTTAACAGATATTTTTAAATGAATCAATAAGATGGTTTAAAATCAGCTTTCAATGATGCAACAAAAGTCACTGAACCCTACAACCTTTACTTTGATTTTTACCAGTATGCCTTTTCCTATGGAGTGCATTTACCAGTGAGAATATAAACAAAACCAGTAATTATTTATATTCATCTATCACAGACTTTAACTTGTGCTAAATACATAGTTACTTCCACAATTATTGTTAGAAAGTATTATTTTTCTTTATTTTTTTAAATATTTATTTGAAAGTCAGAGTTACACAGAGAGAAAAGGAGAGACAGAGAGAGAGAGAAGTCTTCTATTTGCTGATCCACTTTCCAATTGACCGCAATGGCCAGAGCTGTGCCAATCCGAAGACAGGAGCCAGGAGATTCCTCTGGGTCTCCCATGTGGGTGCAGGGGCCCAAGGACTTGGGCCATCCTCTACTGCTTTCCCAGGCCATAGCAGAGAGCTGGATTGCAAGTGGAGCAGCTGGGACTCGAACAGGCGCCCATATGGGATACTGGCACTGGAGGTGGCAGCTTTACCTGCTATACCACAGAGCCAGTCCCAAAAAGAATTATTTCTCTCTATATATAGAGATCTGATTCCAGGCTCCTAATATTTGACCTTTTAGCTAAAAATGAACAAAAATCACAGATCTATTGAAAATATGTGAACAAAAGAAGGGGTTAAAGAGTACAATTCAAAATGATAACATAATTAGGGTACAGAATAAAAATAACATTTAAATCTATATAAGTGTCTTTAAAAGTTTTAAATACTGAAAGCGACATGCAAAAATGTGAATGAGGATCAAGTATATCAATCCCATAATAATCTGAAGCAGCAGTAATTACTGCTCCCAGTCTAACTCCCAGTCTAACTATAACATCTAGTAATCTTACCATCCATGGTGGCACTGGCAAATAAGAAAGATATGACTTCCTTGGAAGACTTGGCCAAGGCTGCTGTAGGAACCGAGACTGAATACTCATGGTTCTGAATGAAATAGGGGAGTTGGAGCCACCTGGATGGTGTTTATCCTTCTGGTTTAATATCAGATTTCTAAGAAAAGGCCAAAAGGATTTCTAATGGCAAAAATGGTCATCTATTTTGTGAGTACATGTCATTCATTCAACAGCTGTTCACTGAGCATCAGTTATATATAAGGCATTTAAGAAAGGTTGATGCCCAGTAGGTTATTACAATAATGCATAAAACAATAATGCATAAAAATTATTGGGTCATAGAATTTCTTAACAGAACATTTCTGGTAATGATTAGATTAAAAATAAAAGCAATGTTCAAGATGCTTACCCAGCATGTATTTTTAGTCATCTTGAACCTATGTTATTTGCATGTTCATTTAACTTATTTCCCTTTTCTAAGACTTAAGTTACTCAGTTCAAAAAGTAATTATTCTTCCTCATAGACGTTCTCAATATATTCTCTCTCATTAAAAAAAGTGTATTTCTTAGCTTCTATACAACACTGGATTTTGTCTTTAGGTATTATAAATCCTCCAAAGATTCTATAAAAGCAGAATTATCAGGGCCCGTGTTGTGGCATAGCAATTAAGCCACCACCTGTAATGATAGTATCCCATTTGAGTGCTGGATGGAGTCCTAGTTGCTCCACTTTGGATCCAGCTCCCTGCTAATGCACCTGGGAAGGCCATGGAACATGGTCCAAGTACTTGGGCCCCTCTAACCCACATGGGAGACTTGTATGGAGTTCCAGGCTCCTGGCTTCAGCCTGGCCCAGCCCTGGCTATTGTGGTCATTTGGGAAGTGAACAGGTAGATGGCAAATCTCTCTCTTTCTCCCCTTCTCTCTCTGTAACTCTGTCTTTCAAATAAATACATATTTAAAGAAAAACAAAAAAAGGCAGACAACATTATTTATGTTGGAAATTTCTAAATTAAGGGATATATTAATACAATTTGAGAAGTTCCTCTATTACTTTTCATGTCACTGGACTATCACTTAGGGTATCAAATAGAAAAGTATACTGGTTAAAAGGAAAATGTGCTTTCATTCTAAATGTCACTGCAAAATAAGAACAAGAAAAAGGTGTTAAAAGGCCATGTATTGGGGCTACAGCTGTAGCATAGTGGGCTAAGCATCCACCTGTGGTGCTGGCATCCCATATGGGCACCAGTTTGAGTCCCATCTGCTCCTTTTCCAATCCAGCGCTCTGCTATCAGCTGGAAAGCAGTGGAAGACAGATCAAGTGCTTGGGCTCCTGCTCCTGTGTGAGAGACCTGGAAGAAGCTCCTGGCATATGGCCATTTGGGGAGTGCACCATGGGATGGAAGACCTTTCTCTCTGTCTCTCTCTATATATAATTCTACCTCTCAAATAAATAAATAAAATCTTTTAAGAAAAAGGACATGGTATTTGACCAATTTAAATTTTATTAGCAAGACTACTCAATTGAGATTATTTTTTTAAAAAAGAAAAGTTGTTTCTATTTTTCTCAATCACACTAAACAGAAATCATATTACTAAGTGTTTGATTATAATATCAGTAATTGAATGCATCTTTTCATTCTTTATAAATTTCAGTTCTTTCAAGATAATCTTACCTGAAGACTTGCAATTGTCTGTGTTTAATATTTAACTCATGTTGCATATGACTCAATTCTTTCTGTATTCTCTGGAATTCATTTTGTTGACTTTTTAACTGCATTCTTGCATCCTGAATTCTAAAGATATAAAGAAACAGTATCCATTACAAGATTAAATCTTTCCTTCATGAGGATTAGCTTTAAATTACAAGAAATAAGTAATTTTAATAAAAATAAGAAAACTATGCATTTTACATATATATGCGATATAAATGTATAAAACAAAGAAGGAAAGACACATGGAAGAGTCATTATCTCTGGAGATGAGAGCGGAAGTTATAGGCAGGGGAAAAGGTAATGAATATTGAAGAGAGGCAGAAAGTTTACTTTATATTCTTTTTTACTGTTCAAATTTTTACAGTGAACATGCAAAAATGAATTAATTAAAATATAACTAAACAAATATTAATTTAATTTTCATTAAAGACAGGGACACAGTTTAAAATGTCAAGTATCACTGAAAGGGTTATAAGAAAAAAATAATAAGAAAAATACATTTTTGGGGGCTGGTGCTGTGATGTGGCGGGTTAAACTGCCTGCCATCTACAGCACTGGCATCCCACATAGGCACCAGTTTGAATCCTGGCTGCTCCACTTCCGATTCAGCTCCCTGATAATGCACCTGAGAAAGCAGTGGAATATGGCCCAAGTTCATGGGACCCTGCACCCACATGGGAGACCTGCAAGAAGCTCCTGGTTCCTGGCTTCAGATTAGACCAGCTCTGGCATTGTGGCCATTTGGTGAGTGAACCAGTGGATGGAAGATCTGTCTCTCCCTCTCTCTGTAACTCTGCCTTTCAAATAAATAATAATAAATATATTTTTTAAAAAGAAAAATACATTTTCTTGTTTCATTTAGTATTTAGTTTTATATTAGGAAATAACAAGTTTACCCTGCTACATCTTAACATTTCATTATAGATATTATCTAGAATACATATAATCTAGAATATATATATATATATATTTATACATACACACTCATGTTGCATATATAGCTCATCCTTTAAGGTCAATCATCTGGAAACACCACTGAATAGTTCTGTTGACTTTAGATACATGGCTACACCTAGCTGCAAGGGATGTTGAGAGATGTAGTCCTTTAATTGGGAAAAGTGGACACCATACAAATTCATAGTTCTGTTACTAACACAGAAGGGGAAATGAATGGTGAGGTAGTCAGTCAATAAGACTTGACCCTTCTACACATATACTACCCAACATACATAAACTCACCTTTACTTTCTATTTCTTATCTTCCCTATATGGTTGAATCAACACTTTTTGTTAAACTACTTTTAGTATTTACATTATTCTTCACTGGTGAACCACATGTTATGCCATAATTATCTTTATTTTCTGAAACAACTTTTATGGTCCATAGAATAAAAAACTCTCTTTTGTTGGTTTTCTGTATACCTATCACTGATTCTCCTTTCAACTTTAACAGAAGCAAAATTCTCCTCTCAATACCTTCAGACACATCCGATAATCTTTCCATATTATTTCTTTCCCAGGAAGTAACCTTCCAAGAGTTGCCCATTCCTTTGCTCTAGTCTAAGTATGCTTTGATTTGGCTAAAGCTGTCATTCTGGGACTTTGCTTCTCTATCATTTCATGAATTGTCCCCATCTCTTTTATGCCAGCTCTCCTAGTTCCTGGTTCTTCCTTCCTGGTTTACTTTACTGAGTAGAACAAACCCTTAAGATTTGTGTATATGAGAGGGAAATTTGACATTCAAAATGCCTTTGTTCTATCTCATAATGGACAGTTTGACTGATAGAGAATCATAGATGAAACAAAAATTTAACAGAAAATTATGGTACTGTTCCACAGTTTCCTAACTTCCATTGACGCTGATGAAGGGTAAGGTCTCCCATCTCCCTCCCACTTCAGAAATCCTTCTGAAAGAATTTTCTTCTCTTTTTCCTTGGGATTCGTAAATTTGATGACACTGTGTCATCACATTAGTCTCTGTCGTGCTCTGTGCTGGGCGCTTGGTAAGGACTAGCTTTAGAGACTGATGTTCTTTACTTTTAGTAATTTTCCACTAGGTTGAACTTCTTCCTCTCCATTTTCCCCTTTTTGGGAACAATTTTCTATTATTTTGGATACAAGACCTCTCAGACAGACATTATAATTTTCTTACACTTTTTCTACCATTTTACCACTTATTACTTTTTGTTCTACTTTCACTAGGATTCAGTCACTCTCACTACTTTCACTGGGATGCAGCACCAAAAGAGTACAAAATGGAACAAAGAACCTTTCCATTTTGATAAAAAGGTCAAGACACCCAGAAAAACGATGATCATGAACTCTTGCATACCCAAAAACATACCTTCAAAAATATAAAGAAAATTATTCAAAAATCCAATGAGAAGGGGACAGTGGTTGGCCTCGCAGTTTAGACAGCAGCTGGGATGCCCATAATCAATATCATGGTGACTAGATCCCAGCTTCCTGCTAATGTGAATCCTGAAAGGAAGTAGGTGATGGTTCAAGTAGTTGGGTCTCTGCCACCCACATACAACACTAGGTTGAATTCCTGACTCCTGGCTTCAGCCTGGCCCAGTCCTGACTGTTGTGGGCATTTAGGGAGGAAAGAATGAATGGGAGCTCTCTCTGCCTATCTGTCTCCCTTTTTGTCTCTGTGTCTGTCAAATACAATGAAAGGCAGAAAGACAGAAACAGACTTGAGAGCTAAAGACAGACTGAGATATTCCATTTGTTGGTTCACTTTGAAATGACTGTAATAGACAGGGCTGGGCCAGGCCAAAGCTGGGAGCCCAAAACTCAGTCCAAATCCCCCACATGGTGGTGGGGACCAAACTACTTGAATCATCACCTGCTGACTCCCAAGGTGCACATTAGCAGGATGATGGATAGGAAGTGGCATTGTGATGTGAATCTAGGCATGCTGACAGGGGACACAGTGTCAGGTGGCATCTTAATTGCTATGCCAAATGTCTAGCCCTAAATAAAATTATTTTAACTACAATGAAAATAAATTAATAATCATAATGAGTACGCAAGAGTTCATGATCATCCTTTTCACACAAAAATTGAAAGGTTACAGAAATATGACAAAATAGGTAAAACTATTGAGAATTTAATAAGACAACATTGTGTTATTGATATTTTGACATAATTGGAAACAAATGTACTAATCATGGTATAATCACAAAAAAAAAAAAAAACAATGTAACTGCCCACAATTGAAAACAAAAACATTACTCATACACATTTATTTTCAACAATACAATGACGTGAAAAACAAAAGAAGTAAAAAATCTATATATGGAAATTTTAAAATATCCAATAATTGCTGGAATAAAGAGAAAAAATGAAACTTATGAATTATTTAGAAATAATGGAAACACTATATATCAAAGTACTCAGAGGAAAATTATAGCTTTAAATGAGTTTATTAAAATAACAGTGAATTAGGGGCCAGTGCTGTGGTGCAGCGGGTTAAAGTCCTGGCCTGAAGCGCTGGCATCCCACATGGGCGTTGGTTCTAGTCCCGGCTGCTCCTCTTCCCATCCAGCTCTCTGCTATGGCCTGAGAAAGCAGTAGAAGATGACTCAAACACTTGGGCCCCTGCACCTGCGTGGGAGACCTGGAAGAAGCTCCTGGCTCCTGGCTTCAGATAGGCGCAGCTCCGGCTGTTGCGGCCATCTGGGGAGTGAACCAGCAGATGGAAGACCTCTCTCTCTCTGTCTCTACCTCTTTCTGTAACTCTGTCTTTCAAATAAATATTTTAAAAAATGAATTAATACTTTGAATGTCATATTTAAGGCAAAGAGGTACAAAAGACAAAAGCTCAGCAGCAAGGTTGTCCCAGCAGCAGTGAAGAAACCCAGTGTCCAGATCTTGGTTTCTAAATGCCATCCTCCAATAAAAGAAATCAGAGCATCTTAACTGGTTGGTTCCAGGACTGAGGCAGGGAAAATTCAAGGTAAGTCGAGGACATTTCATGGTGCCAAAAAGCAAGGAATAGCTCAACAGAGGAGGGAAGCACGTTGGAAAGGCACAGATATGACCTGGGAACCAGAAGCATTTCTAAATGTTCAAAACTGGAACAACTGAACAACAAAATAAGTGTTAAGTATTAGTTTACAATCTAGTAGTTATAAAATAGCACTGGATATTGTAACCCACAAAATAAAAATGAATGATTTCATTTTTTTGATTTATGATTTTGATATAAATAACTGAATAAATAAACGAGAGAGAAGAGACATCTATAAATTCCAGTTAATAAATAAATGTAGAAGGAATGAAATGAAGAAATTAGTATCATTAGAAAGCATGGTATTAACTAATGTGGACAAACTCTACTGACAGTTGCTTGTAAAACAAGTGAAAGTTTCAGGAAAAAAAACCATGTCTAAAGTATCTACTTGAAGTATCTCAGACATTTACTAATTACAAAGAGAAAAATAATAATTTCAGAGTACAGAAACCTAGGAAATACTAACTTTGTCAAATGATGATGGTTAACATCACCAATAAAAAACATATTGACATAGTCATATGCACCCTGATATGATACACTGAGAAGGGTGTAACACTTTTATAGTAGCTTTGCCAAAAATGAATAGTCAACATAATTACATGTAAACATCAGACAAACTCAAATTTAGGAATGGTCTATAAAATAACTGACCAACGATCTTCAAAAGCCTCAAGGTTGGGGCCAGCGCTGTGGCACAGCAGGTTAATGACCTGACCTGAAGCACTGGGATCCCATATGGGCACCGGTTTGAGACCCAGCTGCTCCTCTTTCAATCCAGCTCTCTGATATGGCTTGGGAAAGCAGTAGAAGATGGCCCAAGTCATTGGGCCCCTGCACCCACATGGGAGACCCGGAAGAAGCTCCTGGCTCCTGTCTTCGGATCAGTGCAGCTCCGGCCATTGCAGCCAATTGGGGAGTGAACCAGTGGATGGAAGACATCTCTCTCTCTCTCCGCCTCTTTCTGTGTAACTCTGACTTTCAAATAAATAAATTAATTAATTAAAAAAAAATCTCAAGGTCATGAAAGACATGTAAAGACTGAGGAACTATCACAGAT